AGTACAGATTGCTTCATCATGGTCCACTTTGAGGAAAAAAAGAACTCACAAAAGCCACAACATCCCTGGCCATTAGTTAAGTCCCCTGGTGTGCATGCCAAGACCTTTGATTCAATACGCCTGGTTCCTCTTTGCGGGAACTGGTGTAGGAATCATGATTAAGCAGAACAAGAGAACCTGGGGATTTGTACCTCTCTTCTGATCTCTTCTTGGTTCTCATCTTCTCATCTGTTTGTTGCCCTTGGGCTTGGGAATTCTCTCTGGTTGTCTGTCCTATTTTATTTGTAATTGCTACCACCCCTTTTAAGACATGGCATTGATTGACTGCATTGATTCTATAGGTAGTCTCTTGAGAAAGACCTTGGCTGGTCAATTTAAAGATTTCCATCTGTCAGCCATGGTTATGGGCTCCTCTCTGGTTGTCTCTCTTTGTGTTTCTTTTTTGTACAATCTTGCAACTGGAGTTGGTCTGTCAGAGGTAATGTGAGTGGAAGGAAGGGCCACTTATCAGTCTGTCTAAGATAATGTTTTACTTTAGTGATCTGGCTTTTGAAAAGCTTTCTAGATCATTGTACAATCTTGCCATTGGAACTGGTCTGTTAAGGGCAAAGTAAGTGGAAGAAATTTGCATGTGCAGGTCTGTCTGTTTTAAAGGTTCTCATTTGTCAGTCCTGGTTTTGGTTCTCTAAATAAAATACAAAATGGGGCTGGGGATGTGGCTCAGTGGATGTCTGAATATTTAGGTTATAACAATATAATTGGTAAAAAAACCAAAATAATTGATACCCAAAATAGGCTAGACTTCAGCTCATCTAAAGTTGTGTGTAAAAGACTGATTTTTGTTGTGAAGATTACTGTGATTTCAAACGGGGGTATAATGTGTAACTAAGTAAAATTTCAAGATTATAAAAGTCATTTTTCTTTGTTCATAGCTATTATACAAACAATATGTTTTTTTTTCTCTGTTAATTTCATTTTTTATTTTCCTTGTAAACTTTATAACTGTTGGCTGTGTTTGCATAGGTACTGCTTCTTAAAAACAAAAACAAACCTGGGTTAATTTGAAATAATAAGCCATCACCTACAGGACAGATAGTATATAATGCCGACTTCCAGTACTAACACTAACCCCAATTAAATGAAAGAGGTATCTGAAAAATTATAGATGTTAAAGTCATAACCTGTTATTCCCTCTTTAAGATTGATGAAACTGGATTGCTGGGTGCTTAAAACCAAAAATATGGAGACCAAAGTCAAGGAAGTAAAGGAGCCAAAGAAAAAGCAACTATCATTTTGACCCTTGCCCTCTAAGGTCAGCCAGGATGCAGAGAATGATGGAACCCCTCTCTGGGGTTTTGCAACTCTGGTGAGTCACCTGATCTGCTGATCATGAAGATCAAGAGGACCCTAAAGAACGGGAAGCTAACCAGTGTACATTTTGCAAAGAGGAGATAGAAACGTCCTAATGCTTCCAAGAAAAGCCACCCAGACACGGACCCATCCTGGCAAGTGGCACCACTGGTAGAGGAAAGCTAAAGGAGCCAGGTAGCTTTACACATGTCCCCAAGAATGATCTCTGAGGAATCTCAGCTGACTCTTAAGAGTAGATAGAAAACAAGGTCAGTTTTAACCAACTTGATCTTAAACATCTTGCAGGAGATTATAGCTTAAAAAACCACAGTTTTACATAAACATTTTTTTTAATGTAACTTAAGATGTACAGTTGTGTCAGCCCTATGGAAAGTAAATAAAGTTGGAGGCTATAAAGGAAGAGTTCTTGTGTGCATAATAATAATGATTACAAGAGTCGAAAATTTGTCTTCAGTTAATTTGAGTCTGATTTCACAGACCTACAAATCTTCCTAACCTTCTACATCAATGAACTTATTCTGTTTTTCACTGATAAGATTATTAGCTACTGTCCTCATAGTTTTCAGAGATTGGCTGAAATACTAATTGTTTTATGCTAGTTATTTACAAAAATAGTAATTCTTTGCTGTCTTGCTTATTGTTGTCTTAGCATGATCCCTGCCCTATGCATGCCTTGTCACCTGCCATCTGTCACTGTAGACCTCTGGACTGCTCTGATGCTGGATGTCCTTAACTGCCCACACCCCACCTGATAGAGAACAAGGACTTTGGGTTATTTCCCCCAACTTCACCCCCTTTCAGCAGGAAGAAGTTTGGAGAAGTCATTGCCCATTTTCCCTTAAAAATGAAATTGCCAAGTGGGGAAATGTCACAGTGGTCCACTTTATGCTTTGAATGTAGCCCTTGCTGCTCTGCCACTGCCACTTATTTTTAAAATGAACATGTTTCTTTCTCTTCCTCTCTCCCTGTTCGGCCCTAATCTTTCCCCCTCTCTAATATCAGGGGAAACAGGATTACCTTTCTTCCCCATCGTAGGCAGAGTTATCTATCCCTGACTACACACCCACCAGAGAAACAAGTAATTCTTTCTTTGGGGATGATACTAGAAGATCTCAAAACTGACTATCTTCCAAATTAACAACTGAATTACAACTCCAACAGAGAACATGGGGAATGTGGCCTTTTGAGTCACCTCTTTAAAAGTCCTCTGTTCCTGCTGATAGGTGAAATCACAGCCTTTGGGACAGGAGTCCCCTGTGTTTCTCCTTTGCTAGCAAAGCAACAGAGTGGCTTGGGGAACAAGGACCCAGATTTTGGCAACAACATACACACATCCCTCACACACCACATATATACTCATTACACTGCACAACCACACCAACCTTTGAACATTATTGAAACTTTTTTGTGTCTCGTTATAGTCATTGTTTGGAAAGTTCTTTGCACATGGGTCCCTGCGTCCTGTCACTACAGATTAGGTTTCTCTGGTGTGTGGGGTGGCCACTGGGGATCTTGGGCCCTGGAGGAGGGGCTTGCATTCTCCTAAGGCTTGCCTCCATCGGCCCTGCTGAGTCTCCTCCACCACAACTGCTTCTGGTCATTATATACCTAGGAATCAGGGCCCAGTTCTCATGCTGCCCCTCAGCCCAGGACAGACCTGAGTGCTCACAGGATAGCAGTCACACCACATAACTCAGCGACCCCTGACCCTAGAGCGATGGGCTCCCACACCACCCTCACCCACATGCCTTTCCATCTGCTGGCCCGGATGCCAGGGTCTTCCCACCTGAGTAATCTGCCCCTTGTCCTTCACATTTCTCCAGTGAGCTGGACTCCAGCTGCTGCTTCCCAGAATGCAGAAATGGGGAAGGGAGATTAACCATGGGGTGGGCCTCTCTGGACTCTCCCTCCAGCCCTGACTGTGCCCCAGGGATCTGTCCTGAAGCCCAGGAGAAGCTTGAGGTGGTTTGGGCAGGTGGGAGTTCCATTCCCTTAGGACTTGCTGTGAGGGCCTGGCATAGGGGGAAAAAGGAAGAATGGTGGTAAGTCCAGGAGGGGACTGAGGAGACCTGGAAGCTGGGACTACCCAGGCCCAGGATGCTCATGGCCACCAATTGTGCGGGGACATGGATAGCACCTCAGTGAGGGGTCCAGGATCAGCAGGTTGGGGACCGTTGGGAGTCCCAGCAGGGGAGCAGGCATGGGGTATGAACTTTGTATTTCTGAGGCCCCAGGATCTGGAGTCCCTGATGACTGAATTGGGGCGTTCACTAGCATCAGAAATAAAGAGAAGACAATTTAAAAAGGCAATATGTATTTAACTGCGACTTGGCCAAAGCAAGGAAGAAGCTGATCTGTCCCTACTATCCCACAGAAGCACTGTGAATGACGCCAGAAGTCAGAGATGTGTAGACCTAGTGGGCCCTGCTAGGGACCATGGTAAGTTCCTTCCACCCTGCATTCCTTCCTGGGCCAGGGCTTTGGCCTAGGCATGGGACCTTGGCAGGAAATGGCAGGGACTGAGGAAAAAGCTATTTTTAGCTTCTTTGAAATTTTCTGCTTTTAATCAGGCCCTGTCATAGTCCCCCTGTCTTGTCCATCCTGCAGTCTTGAAGGATGTGGGGCTTCATGTGGTCTGACCCTTTATTACCGGGTTGAAGCAGAAATCCCCTCAAGGGCAGCCAGAGCTTTTGAGGGTAAGGAGCCGACATGCAAAGATGCCCACCGGCTCCACCTAGTGGACGACCTGGGAACCCAGCTGCAAAGCCTCTGCAGAGCCTGGTTTGTCTAGGGTCCTGGACACATGACCAGCTTCATTCTGACAATTCCCCCATTTCTGAATGACTTTTTTTGAAGATATTACTAATTGTCCACCAAGTGGTCTGGGCCCATGTCACCAGGATGGACTTGTTCTGTCCTTTGATCTGATCTGGTCTTTCATCAGAGGAGAAGAGTCAGTTTAAAAGATCATTTTTAACCAAATTTGAGCAAGAACACTGGCTTAGAAAGAGTGGTTCATAGGCTAAGTTTTTACCTGGAGTCCTGAAGCATGTGCCTGGGGTCTGCTGGGTGCAGCAGCGGGTGAGCTTGCTGTGGAGGAGTGGCCCTGGTCAGCACCTGCCTTCTTGCCCAGCTCCTACGCTCATACTCTAGGTCTCCTGGATGCAGTCACTGCCCTGTCCAAGTTCCCAGGACCTCCTTTTCACCTCTTGGGGCTGCACTTCTCTCCAGGGCTCTGTTGGTGTCCACCCTGAAGGGAACTGGGGACATCTTTGACGATGTGGGGCTCACAGCAGGTCCTCAGACCTACCTCCCATCTCACTCCCCATCTTCCCAACCTCAGGTGTGAGAACTTAGCTATCTGAGCCACCATCTTCTCATCAAACCTGGGGGTACACGTACCTGAGTACAGACCCAAAACCCAGACCTTTTCATCACTAATGATAGAGCTAAGAGCTTTGGCATCTCCTCTTCCTCATCCTCCCCCTTCAAAAGTGTGGATCCTGCAGTTCTAGCTGGGAGTCCGTCCATGATGGGGCAGGCTCCTGGAGGGCCCAACTCTAGGGTTGGTGAAGCATCAGCACAGTGTCCAGGTGACCCTGGAAAAGTCTTTGAAAAAACATTCTACCTTCAATTAATTAATTTATTTTTATTATGTTACAAAAACATACATTGCTGTGGAAGACTTGGGGAAGACGGAGACAATCAGAGCAGGAGGAACCAATGGCCTGCATGGAGGAGCACCTGAGACCTTTGCCCCCAAGCCACATGGGCTTCTCTGAGGTCTGAGCAGGGAGACAGAGGCCAGCAAAGCCTTGTATATGCCACTGCCCAAGCTGACCAGGAATACACTTGGCAGATGCAGCCACTCCACCTCTGACCAGGGCTGGATTGGCCCAAGGCTCCTCTCCACTCTGTAGGACTGAAGAGGCCATCATCGTGGAGGGTAGGGGACATCTGTGGCCTGGATGCCTTTGAAACGCTTCCTGTGCATCTGGAGGATGGCACATTTTTATTAACCTTTCACTGCCACCACTTCTTCCCTGCAGGGGCAGAAGCACCTCAAGTCAGTGTCATTCCTCAAACCACAGGGCTCAGATCCTCTTTTCTATCTGTCCCTTTCATCTTATCAACTGGACCTGTCCTCTCAGCCCTGGTAAGGACCACAATGTAAAGCCACATTCCTAGCCAAAGACAAAAACTACCCTAGCCATCACTGTCCTCTAAAGACTCAGGAGACTCCCAGAACTCAGAATTCATCCCACAGTGGGCACACGTCTTTCACTGAGTGTGGTCACTGGGTTAAAACATCCAAAGAGCCTAGAGCAGTGGCCATGCCCGTCTGCCAGCTCCTGGGAGGCTGAGGCAGGAGGTTCACATGTTTGAGGCCAGCCTAGTGACTTTGTGAGACCCTGTGTTGAAATTAAAAAAAAAAAAAAGGTTGTGGCTCAGCCGCAGAGAGATTGCTTTGCACCTAGGAGGCTCTGGGTTTGATCCTCAGCACCACATAAAAATAAATAAAATAGAAGTATTGTGTCCAACTACAACTGAAAAATATTAAAAAGAAAAAAAAATCTGGCAGAGTGCCCCTGGGTTCCATACCTGATACCACAAATCAATAAATTCATGTATGTTTTTAAACATCCATAGATGATATGCCAAGAGCCAGCATTAGGGCTGAGGATGATCCCAGACCTGCCTGTGGAGGAAGCAAGTCCTCAGTGCCATGCTTGTCCTGCTTCAGCATGTCTGGTCCTGCTGCCTGTCTTGAGACAGGTGTTCCATGACATCAGATGTGAGGAGCATCCTGCAGGACTCAGGGCAGAAAAGGAGCTCTCAACAAATGAAAGCCTGCCCTCCCTCGCCTGACGAGCAGGGTGGAGCAGGGAGCTTCTCCTGTCTTAGTGCCCTCAAATCAGTGCCCACACTGGGTGTTGTCTATCCTAGTGCCCAGCTCCAGCCCCCATACCCCTCACTTGCTCTTTGTTCACATTCTCCCCCTCTCCCCCTCCAACTTCCACTGCTGGCTCCCTCTGTAGTTTCTAGAACACCCAAAGGAGACTCATTCCCACTCCTAGGCTGGTCCTGGGGCTGAGTCCAGTCCCATAGCTGTGGAGGACCCAGCCTGGCCAGCTCTGTGGCCATGCCCTGCTTGAGGTTGACAGGTAGGCCTGGCCAGGGCACTGCTGAGGGATGGAACCTTGCAGAAGAATGTTACAGGGCTGCTGGGAGGACTGGCAGGTAGCAGTGCAGGCCTCTCAAGGCACAAGGCAAGTGGCCAGAGCAGAGTCCCGTGTGGGTGAGACTGGTGTCTAGCATCTAGCAAACAGATGTTCCCCCAAAACCCGGCTAATGAATGTACACAGTCTCCCATCAACACTTACCTCTGAACAAATGCACATAACCCCATGGTCAAAACTGCAGAACCTGAAATTCACAGAGCCAGGTGTGCCTCAGCCTGAGTCCATCTCACAGATGGTCTGCCCTGTGGCGTAATGTCCCGTCCGGCAGGACACATCAACGTGGGCAGCGAACCTAGATGGGGAGGAATGAAGGGACAAGAGACACGAAAGGTGACAGCAAGACAAAAGTTCTGATCAAGCTGCAAACTTTTATTGTTCACACAGGGGTATTTATATGCTGGGGAATGGGGAAGCTCTCTATAATCAACAATTGCTGGATGTGGGTGGTAAAACTGCCAGCTGATCCTGATAACTGCAGGATGTTCCAGGGAGATAGGTAGCTGCAGGATGCCTTCCAGGCAGGATGTCTCCCAGGGGGCTGTCAGGCTAATCTTTGAAGGAGAATGTCCTTCTAGTCCCCGACATTTCCCCCTTTCTTATATAAAATATTTGACCATACCTTACCGGCCATGTTTTTAGGGGGGATAGAGGCTCTGTTCCTCTAGAAGGCCTTAGAATATCTCCTGATCCAAGATATTCTAAGGCGTGGTGGCCTTGGCATGTTTTTGGAGGAGACAGCTTTGAGGGGGGAGCATGCCAACTGCCATCACCAGAGCGTGTCACTCAGAGGTCTTGGGTTTTGGGATCCGTGGATTCATCCTCCTGCAGTCCTTCCTGCACCCTACATTATTATGGCCTAACGTCTTCACTCCATGGGTGCATCCTCCCCCAAGCGGAGGGGCCCATGGAGGAGCGAACCCTTATGGCAAGGGCAGAAGATGGTTGGTCAGAGCTGTTACTTATACTTTTATATAAGAAAGAGAGATCTGTGGGGATGTAAACTTAAGAAATAAGCCTGAGAGAAGGGTAGAACATCCTTTTAAATGTTGGCAGCATGGTCTTCCATCTCCAGATGATGATAGTGGACCTGTATGGGCGACAGTGCCTTGGCATCCAGCTGACTATAACTTGGTGTATATGCCTTCTCCTCGAAGACATGGGGGACATGAGTTCCCTTTTAGAAGTCAGTTCCATTTGAAGTCTGGCTGGAGAAAAACAGGTTGTCATCTGGGGATGGGTGCTTTCATGAGGGAAACAAAAACCATGAGTACTGAATAAGTGTTGTAGCAGCTGGAACATGTCACTGTACATAAGTTCCCTCACCAGGCTTTAACATTTCCAGTTACCAGGACTGTAAACATGACATTTAACTTTTAGGGTTACAGATGTCCTTTCCCTTAAGACACAGTTTAATAATTTAATGTCATCTGATTTTGCAAAATCCTTTTATTAGTATGACCTCTGTGTCTAATAGAGAAATCTTTAACTCTATTACTTAGGGCTAGATAACCATACTAGCAAACATTAAGCCTACCTGTGTAGGTTAGAAA